AAAATATATCTTAAAAAAGAAAAGAACAGTTAACTCAATCATTTATGTATAGATTTTCCACTTGGATATTATTTGCAACTAAGGTCTAACCCTAACTTTAGTTCCCCCTCCTTGTGGCAGCCAGTGTCTACCTCAGGAAGGGTGACAGGTATTTATGACCTAAAAAAACCAGGGAACACTTCCTATGCCTCTCACGCCCTCACCAAAGTCGTAGCCCATTGCAAAGCCGAATACTGAGGGTCAGTAAGTTATGTTCGCTTCCACCATCTATCACTTTCCCGGCTGAATTCTGAGCGGCTGGTTGTGGGGGTGCCTGAGCTGCTAGTCTCGGCTAAGTCTTCGCAGGCTGGACGGTGAGTGTCTAGCATTGTCCCCTTTGCACCGTGAGGAAGCCAATCTCTCGCCTTCTCTGCCTTCCAGGCAGTTCCGTCAAAAAGAATAAGAACTCCCAAGGCTTCAGACCCTGCGTGAATGTGTGTCCCGCAGCATTAGTTTGGGGAGTAATCGGCTTAATGTGTTAATTTGAGACATTTTCCCTATCCCACTTCATCACTCACCCCCCACAACAGACCCGGAGCAGTCCTCCAGCCTGGAGGTGTCAGCGTGGGGCCGTGCAGGCCGTGCCACTCAAGTTCCCCTAGGGACAGTGAGCTTCCGAATCCCCCATTGCCTTGGACACACAGGTTTTATTAAGTTTTATTCCCAGGAAGGCGTCACATGCCCTCTCTGCACCTGCCCTCAGAGGAGATGGCAGGGAAGGTTCGGTGCCGCCCACGGGAATCCCGACGGCCGAACTCCTGTGGGACTCGGCACAGGACTTCCCACGCTGGTGTTTTTCTTTTCTTTTTCTTCCTTTTTTAAGAAGATGATAAAATATTACAGAGACATGTTTGAAGTTCACACCTGAGTTAAACATTTTGCTCGAGAATTCCACAGGAAGGAGGGGGGAACGTAATGAAAACAGCAGGAAAGGGCTCTGCAGGCACCTGGCAGCCCTGTCCCTCCCAGCCGGAGTCAGGGGCCGAGCGGGCCGGGGGCGGGGGCGGCTCCTGCAGGGAGCCTCCCCCTTCTCTGAAGAGGAGTGAGACAGACAACAAAAGCACGGGTGGGTTTGGTTCTATGGAAGGAGCAGGCCTCGGAGAGCTCGGGGTGGAAGAAGGTTCAGTCAGAAAAGGATGCGGAGCGGAGGAAACAGCGAGGCTTTGCTGGAGGCAGCGGAGTCACAGCTCTTCCCGGGGTCAGGAGCGGAGCCCTGCAGGCGGCCCAGGCTGTGCTCAGAGCTGGCCCTGCAGGCGGCCCAGGCTGTCCTCAGAGCTGGCCCTGCAGGCGGCCCAGGCTTTCCTCAGAGCTGGCCCTGCAGGCAGGCCCAGGCTGTCCTTTAGAGCTGCCCTGCAGGCGGCCCAAGGCTGTCCTCAGAGCTGGCCCTGCAGGCGGCCCAGGCTGTGCTCAGGAGCTGGCCTGCAGGCGGCCCAGGCTGTCCTCAGAGCTGGCCCTGCAGGCGGCCCAGGCTGTGCTCAGAGCTGGCCCTGCAGGCGGCCCAGGCTTGTCCTCAGAGCTGGCCCCTGCAGGTTCCCAGGCTGTGCTAGAGAGGCTGGCCCTGGCGGCTGTCCTCAGAGGACAAAACGCAGCTGGGCCCTGCAGGCGCCCCAGGCGTGTCCTCAAAGCGGCCCTGCAGGCGGCCAGGCTGGTGCTCAGAGCTGGCCCTGCAGGCGCCCAAGGCCGCAGAGCGGGCCATGCAGCGGCCCAGGCTGTCCCCAGAGCTGGCCCTGCAAAGCGGCCCAGGCTGTCCTTAGAGCTGGCCCTGCAGGCGCCCAGGCTGTCCTCAGAGCTGGCCCCGCAGCGGCCCAGCTGTGCTCAGAGCGGCCCCTGCAGGCGGCCCAGCGCCGGCCTCAGAGCGGCCCTGCAGACGGCCCAGGCTGTGCTCAAGCTGGCCCTGCAGCGGGCCAGGCGTCCTCAGAGCGGGCCCTGCAGGCGGCCCAGGCTGTCCTCAGAGCTGGCCACTGCAGGCGCCCAGCTGTCTCCAGAGCTGGCCCTGCAGGCGCCCGGCTGTCCTCAGAGCCTGGCCCTGCAGGCGGGCCCGGCTGTGCTCAATGCTGGCCCTGCAGGCGCCCAGGCCTGGTCCTCAGAGCTGGCCGCTGTCAGGCGCCCAGGCGTCCTCAGAAGCTGGCCCTGCAGGCGGCCCAGGCTGTTCTCAGAGCTGGCCCGCAGGCGGCCCAGGCTGATCCCCAGAGCTGGCCCTGCAGGCGGCCCAGGCTGTCCTCAGAGCTGGCCCTGCAGGCGGCCCAGGCTGTCCTCAGAGCTGGCCCTGCAGGCGGCCGGCGTGGCTGTGCCCAGGAGAAGGCGGAGAGCAGCGGCGAGATGTCCTTTCCCCGAAAGGCTGGGCAGTGGCGGTGGGAAGGCCAGAGGGACGGGCCTGCTTTTGGACACGAGGGCCGGGTCCGAATGAGGCCTCGGAGGCCGGGTCTGGGGAGGGCGAGCCCAGCGCATGGTGCGGTGCCCTCCGTGCTCGGGGCAGTGGGCTCAGTGGAGGTAGGTAGGGTGGTTCCATCGGTACCAGGAACTGGAGGGAGAGGAAGCCGAGCAGCTGCGGTGACGGGAAGGCAGGAGGGGGAATCCCTGTGGCCGCCGTGCCCACTCTGAGAGGTACCAGGCCTGGGACCAGACCCGGCGTTCCCAGGAGGGCCTGGGCTTCCCCTGCTCTGGTGGCGGCTGTGGACACCGCCAGTGAGCGGCCCAGCGCCCTCGCGGCTTCATCTCTGCCCCCAGCCAGGCCTCTGCCCACCGCCTGCACCCCTGGTCCCAGTCAGCCCCAGCCCCCGACCAGCTCCTAACCTAAACCTACACCCCAACACACACACACCAGCTCCTAACCCTAGAAGCGGCCTCCACCCCAACACACCACACACACGACCAGACTCCTAACCCTAACCCTCCCCCACCACACACACACACCAGCTCCTAACCCTCCCCCCCCCCCCACACACACACACACCAGCTCCTAACCCTAACCCTCCCCCACACACACACCAGCTCCTAACCCTAACCCTCCCCCCACACACCAGCTCCTAACCCTAACCCTCCCCCCCCCCCACACACACACCAGCTCCTAACCCTAACCCTCCCCCCACATACACACACCAGCTCCTAACCGTAACCCTCCCCCACCCACACACACACACACCAGCTCCTAACCCTACCCCCCCCCCCCCCCACACACAACAGCTCCTAACCCTAACCCCCCCCCCCACACACAACAGCTCCTAACCCTAACCCTCCCCCCACATACACACACCAGCTCCAAACCCTAACCCTCCCCCCACATACACACACCAGCTCCTAACCCTAACCCTCCCCCCACATACACACACCAGCTCCAAACCCTAACCCTCCCCCACACACACACCAGCTCCAAACCCTAACCCTCCCCCCCGACACACACACCAGCTCCTAACCCTAACCCCCCCCCCCCACACACACACCAGCTCCTAACCCTAACCCTCCCCCACACACACACACACCAGCTCCTAACCCTAACCCTCCCCCCCACACACACACCAGCTCCTAACCCTAACCCTCCCCCACACACACACAACAGCTCCTAACCCTAACCCTCCCCCTCGACACACACACCAGCTCCAAACCCTAACCCTCCCCCCAACACACACACACCAGCTCCTAACCCTAACCCTCCCCCACACACACACACACCAGCTCCTAACCCTAACCCTCCCCCCACACACACACCAGCTCCTAACCCTAACCCTCCCCCCCACACACACACACCAGCTCCTAACCCTACCCCCCCCCCACACACACACACCAGCTCCTAACCCTAACCCTCCCCCCACACACACACCAGCTCCAAACCCTAACCCTCCCCCACACACACACCAGCTCCTAACCCTAACCCTCCCCCCACACACACCAGCTCCTAACCCTAACCCTCCCCCCACACACACCAGCTCCTAACCCTAACCCCCCCCCCACACACACACCAGCTCCTAACCCTAACCCTCCCCCTCCCCCCTCTACACACACACCAGCTCCAGGAACCCTGCGGAGGAGAGTCTTGGACCCAGGAGGCTGCTTCCCTGTCCCTGTGCCCTCTCGCTGTGCAGCCGGTGCGAACTGGCAGGAGGTGGAACCCTATGCCCAGGGAGCGACTGGCCTTGGACAGGAGGCCTGGGCCTGTCCCCTGCCCAGGCTCCTGCCCAGAAGGCTCAGTGGCTGAGCCCCTTTTTGAACCGGCTCCCTGGGGCCAGGCCCCTCCCTCCATCCCCTCCCCTTGTCTGACTGCAATCCCCTTCTTCCCAAGGCCCAGGCCCGCCCCTCTGCTGGGGTCCCACAGCCCCCCATCCCCACCCCACAGGCCCCCCTCCCCACCCCACAGGCCCCCGCCCCTCAGCCCCCCTCCCCACCCCACAGGCCCCCCTCCCCACCCCACAAACCCCCCTCCCCACCCCACAGGCCCCCCTCCCCACCCCACAGGCCCCCCGCCCCTCAGCCCCCCCTCCCCACCCCACAGGCCCCCGCCCCTCAGCCCCCCTCCCCACCCCACAGGCCTCCGCCCCTCAGCCCCCCTCCCCACCCCACAGGCCCCCGCCCCCTCAGCCCCCCTCCCCACCCCACAGGCCCCCGCCCCTCACCCCCCCTCCCCCCCCCACAGGCCCCCGCCCCTCAGCCCCCCTCCCCACCCCACAGGCCCCCACCCCTCAGCCCCCCTCCCCATCCCACAGGCCCCTCTCCCGCCCCACAGGCCCCCCTCCCGCCCCACAGGCCCCCACCCCACAGGCTCCCGCCCCACAGCCCCCCCTTCCGCCCCACAGGCCCCCCTCCCCGCCCCACAGGCCCCCCTCCCGCCCCACAGGCCCCCGCCCCTCAGCCCCCCTCCCCGCCCCACAGGCCCCAGCCCCACAGGCCCCCCTCCCCGCCCCACAGGCCCCAGCCCCACAGGCCCCCGCCCCACAGGCCGGGGCCCAGGCTCACCCTGTGGCGCCCAGGCCGGCAGCGGCCTTGCTGCTGTGCTGCGGGGTGGGGAGTCCAGTGCCAGGTGAGGAGGGCCTGCTGCCCCCGGGGGAGCAGGACGAGGTCACTGGGGTGAGGAGAGGCAAACGGGTCACATGGCTGCTCCTGCAGGGACCCCAAAGGGCTCTCGCCCTCCCCTGCCCCGCGCACCCACCAGCCCTGCCTTCTTGGCAGGCGCACCCAGACCGGGTCCTGCCAAGGCTCCCCTCTACCCAGGCCCCCGGAGTCGCCCGGCTGGTCCTGGACACCAGCAGGCGGAGGCCAGAGCCGGGCACCCTGGCGGCAGGCACCCAGCCCCAGATGGGGAGGGGAGTCAGGAACCATAGGAGGGAAGGGAGAGGGAGGGGGAGGGGATGGGGCTGGGAGGGGGGCTGGGAGGAAGGGAGGGAGGGGAGGGGGCTCAGAGGAAGGCAGGGGGAGGGGAGGGGGCTGGAAGGGAGGGGGAGGGGAGGGGGCTGGGAGGAGGGGATGGGGAAGGGAGGGGGGCTGAGAGGAAGGGAGGGGGGCTGAGAGGAAGGCAGGGGGAGGGGAGGGGGCTGGAAGGGAGGGGGAGGGGAAGGGGCTGGGAGGGGGGAGGGGGGCTGGGAGGAAGAGAGGGAGGGGAGGGGGCTGGAAGGGGGGGAGGGGGGCTGGGAGGAAGGGAAGGAGGGGAGGAGGCTGGGAGGAGTGCTGGCAAGGTGCAGGGAGGCGCTAGGAGCAAAGAAGGGAAGGGCCCAGAATCCCACTCGCTGGAAGTGCACAGACCCCTGGCCAGGGCGCACAGGCTGACCCCCTCGGCCTCTGCCGCTCAGGGCTTCCCTGGGGCTCACCTGTCGCAGGCAGCGTGCCGTGCCCGGGAGGCAGCGCCATGGGGCCCAGAGGCCCAGAGGGGGACACCTGCAAGGCAACGTGGGCGTCAGTGTCCGCACCCGCCCTGTGCCGCCCGGGCGCCCGTGCTGGGCCCGGCGCCCAGGCCCATTCCCAGCCCTCACCCACACCGCCCCATTCCCAGGCCCCGCCACTCTGTGTGGCCGGCCAGCCCGGTCCAGGGTGTGCTGGAGGCTCAGCAATGGGAGGAGCACTCCCCGACCGACGGACCAACAGACCGACCGACCACCGACCGCTGCCTCCTGCTTCTGCTCAGGGGCCCTGGCAGCCTCCCAGGTGGCCCCGGGGAGCTGGGCTTTGGTCTCTGAAGCTTTTTAATTTTGCCTGGAGCCCTCACCGCACCCCCAGTGCGGGCTCTGCAGGCGGGAGGTAAGGTGGCACGCCCTCCACACAGCACACACACACACACACACACACACACACACACACCCCGCTTCCTAGCCCAAGCGGATGGCCTCTGAGCAGACCTGGGAGCCCGGGTCTGGCGAAGCAGCAGCCCTCCCCTCACAGCGCCATGGCGCCGCCTGGCGGAGTGAGGCTGGACCCCAGCCCTGCCTCCCTGCGGGCTGCAGGGCCGCCAGCCCAGGGCAGCGTGGGCACGCGCCCACAGGGGGCAAGGCGACTTTGAAGGGGGGCAATTCAAGAATGAGCTATTAACAGTGAATTTTTTCATTTCTTCTGGTTCTAGGGGCCTCATATACACTATGTATGTATATATTCTGGCATATTTATGCATTTCAGTTGTCTGTTATATGTTTTGAAACTTTATTTGCTATTTTTTCCTATCACTTCATATTATTATTACTTTTTAAAATGATTTCTTCCTTAGTACTTAACCTATCTTTTATTTATTTTTCTCTCTCATGGATGCCATGCTCTCTGGAAGCTTGTATAGACCAAGGTCGTGGCCTCTTGGGCGTCCTGCTGGTGGACAGCTCCCTTCCTGAGGAATCACTCTGGGCCTCGGGCGTCAGATGCTCGGGGGGCGTGGCCAGAAGGAGGCTGGGACCATCGCTCCCAACGCTGTGCCCCTGTGGCCCGCTCGGGCGCTGGAGAGGGGGTCGGGGGGCGCTGAGCCGTGCGGAGGGCGGGTGACCTTACCTGCCGCCTGCCAGAGCCCGCATGGGGGGGTGCAGTGAGGGCTCCAGGGCTGTCTCCCCCCCCCCCACGCTGACAGGAGAGCTCTGATGCCTTTTGAAGAAGATTTGAAAGGAGTTCTGCTCAGGGAGCTGCATTTAGCCCCCCCCCCCCCTTTGGTAACACCCTTTCCAGCAGGAGGCATCAGGGCCCCCCTGGCTGCTCCTGGCATTTGCTGCCTTTGCACAGCAAGGGGCAGGCATGGGACAGCCAGGAAGATGTGCGATCAGGAATCTCTCCTCCCCTCCCTGCTGCGGAGCCCAATCATCTCATTGCTTTTAAATAAACAATGTGTTCAGTCACCGTGAGCAGCTTCTAAGAAGTTTCCTTCTGGAGACAGCTATGCATGTGCAAGCAGGCATACATATGGTTTCCCCTTTTTAATGCTAAAATGGTTAAATCTTTATTGTGGAGAGTATCACAGATGTCCCCCATGCCCCCTCACTGCAAAACTGTCTGTGTCCATGGACCATGCACCTAGGCACGCGAGGCCTTCTGCTACTCCCGGCCCCTGCTCCCGCCTCCGGCCCCTGCGCCCGCCTCCGGCCCCTGCGGCCTGCAGCCTGGCCCTGCGCCCGCCTCCGGCCCCTGCGCCCGCCTCCGGCCCCTGCGCCTGCAGCCTGGCCCTGCGCCCGCCTCCGGCCCCTGCGCCCGCCTCCGGCCCCTGCGGCCTGCAGCCTGGCCCTGCGGCCTGCAGCCTGGCCCTGCGCCCGCCTCCGGCCCCTGCGCCCGCCTCCGGCCCCCGCGGCCTGCAGCCTGGCCCTGCGCCCGCCTCCGGCCCCCGCGGCCTGCAGCCTGGCCCTGCGCCCGCCTCCGGCCCCTGCCCCCGCCTCCGGCCCCTGCGCCCGCCTCCGGCCCCTGCGGCCTGCAGCCTGGCCCTGCGCCCGCCTCCGGCCCCTGCGCCCGCCTCCGGCCCCTGCGCCCGCCTCCGGCCCCTGCGGCCTGCAGCCTGGCCCTGCGCCCGCCTCCGGCCCCTGCGGCCTGCAGCCTGGCCCTGCTCCCGCCTCCGGCCCCTGCGGCCGCCTCCAGCCCCTGCTCCCGCCTCCGGCCCCTGCGGCCTGCAGCCTGGCCCTGCTCCCGCCTCCGGCCCCTGCGCCCGCCTCCGGCCCCCGCGGCCTGCAGCCTGGCCCTGCGCCCGCCTCCGGCCCCCGCGCCCGCCTCCGGCCCCCGCGGCCTGCAGCCTGGCCCTGCGCCCGCCTCCGGCCCCTGCTCCCGCCTCCGGCCCCTGCGCCCGCCTCCGGCCCCTGCGCCCGCCTCCGGCCCCTGCAGCCTGGCCCTGCGCCCGCCTCCGGCCCGTTGGTTCACTAGAGGCCTGTGCGGTGTGATCAGGACCTGGCCTGCCTGCCTCAGAGCGTGCTGTCCGCCCGCCATGGCCGCAGAGGCGAGGGCCTCTTGGCCGTCTGCCGCGTCTGCCCACTCGCCTCTCTGATGGGGTGCTGTGGAGAGCATCTCCTCTCAGGGGCGCAGGAAGCCGCCCTGGTCCCAGAGACACTGCCGTGGGCCAGGAAGACAGCAGACACGCCCTCCTCAGAGCCCAAGAGCCTCAGCACACGTCCCTCCTCGTCCCCCCGCGGCCTGTGGGCCCGGGGGCTGGCTGCCAGGCGCCGGCCCAACGTGCTGAGAGGGAGTCAGGCTCCGTGGACCAGCGGCTCAGGGCTGAGCGTGAACCTAGGAGCCAGGAGGTCACCGTTCAATCCCTGATCAGGACACAGGCCTGGGTTGTGGGCTCCATCCCCAGTGTGGGGCCTGCAGGAGGCAGCCGATCCATGATTTCCTCTCATCATGGATGTTTCTGTCTCTCTCCCTCTCCCTTCCTCTCTGAAATCAATAACAATATTAGAGAGAGAGAGAGAGAGAGAGAGAGAGAGAGCCGCACTCTCCACAGCCCCTCCGAGCCCGTGCCCTGGGTGGTGGGACCGCAGTGAGCACCTGTCTGCCATCTGCTCTAAACAAACCGTCTTCAAGGTCCTGGCTCAGGTTTCTTACGGCCGAGGACGCCCCACAGCTGCGGCCAGCTTGTTCGTCACATTCTCACTCATTCCTGCGTCCAACCCCCTCACGCCTTCCCTGCTGCCTCTCTCCCAGCCGGTGCCCTCTCCTCCCTGTCCTCCCAGCTCCCCGCCCCCCACCTCACTCCCTGCTGTCAGTGTGAACAGCCTTCCTCAGAGGAGCTCCCCTCGCAGCACTCCGGCGGACCAGATCCCTCCATGCCTCATGGAGGCTCAGCGCGGCCTTCCCGTCTGCCTTCCCTGCTGGCTGGGAGCGCCGGGGGCCAAGCACTGGGTGCTCAGGAGGCGTGTGAGAGGGAATGGTGGCTGAATGTCATGTGGCTTCCAACTTGAAATTTTAATGGACTCCCGTAGTTTTTAGAGTATTTTGGTATCAAGGCTCATCATGACCCGGCTCTCGTCAGTCTCTGTCTTAGTCCCAAACCCTCTGCTCCCACCGGACGGAAACCCGTGTTTCCCCAAAGGATGTGTTGTTTGGAACTCCCTGCTCCTCACGGCCGCCCCCGCCCCACCAGCCTTCTTCCTGCTCACTCCTCAGCTCTCCACAGCGCGCGGGCCTCGCAGCCGGCCTGCTGCTCGTCAGAGTTCCTGGCGCCCCTTCACTGACCCCTCCGCCCATCTCCTTCCATCTCGCCGTCCGCACCCCTGCGCCCTTCCTCCCCGCCGAGCCGGGGACTGGGCTCGCCTCTGTTTCTTCTGTCCAGACCCCACCGTGAGCTCCTTCCCACCCAGGATCTCAGCTTATTCCAGCCTCCCCCTGACCTCTTGATCCCAGGCCCCCTGAGCATCATCATAAAGGAAAGAACAGAGACGGCCACTCTCCATCCCCACGCGACTCCTCCCACGTCCGCTTGTCCATCAATGGCGTCGCCATCTACCAGCCCAGTCTGACCACCCCAGGCCGTCTCCCTCCTTCACTGCTCCCCACGCCCCCACTCCCCGCCTACCAGCCATCACCGAGTGACCCCGCCTTCTGACGCTCTCCTGGATCTTCCCCCGTTGGTACCACTTGGTTTTGCTTCAGCCTTCATTTCTCCACTGAGAACCCCCAGCCTCTCAAACCGCCGCTTGCACTGGCGTGAGGATGATCGTTATTCTAAAAGGCAGATGTGGTCACGCAGTGCCTGCCTAACACCCTCAGGCTCTCTGAGCCCGTAAGCGTCAGCACTGCGCAGCGCCCGTGTGACCTGTCCAGCCTCACCATTCTGCATCCCTCCCCAGGAACCACCTTCAGTGCCATGAAGGTGCCACCGTCCTCCCTGGCCGGTCCTCGTTCCCACCTTCCCCGTCCTTTTGCCTCTTCACTCCTTCCTGCCTCTGGGACTGAGCCGGGCGCGGAGGGCCTCCTGGGGGAGCCTTCCCTCGCCGCCGCCTCCCGAGGCTGACTCCACGTGACACACGCTCTCCTGGAGAAACCCTCACGTGGTGTGTCCTGTGCTCACGTGGCTGTTCCCCTGTGAGGCAACGGGCCTCTGACAGAGCCACAAACGATGGAGAGAGTCAACAGGCCTGGTGAAGCAATGAGCAACAGCGGGTTTTGTGGAACAGCTCTGCCCGCCCGGACAAGGCTGAGTGCTGTCCGTCCTGGAGTGCCACAGGCTCAAGGGCATCCCATTGTCTCCAAGGACCTTACCCTTCACCCACCCCACCCCTGAGGATGGATAGGACTTCCCACCGCACCTCTGGGCATCATCTTCCCTCCACACTGCCACGCTGCCTGCCCCATGCTGCTACAGCCCCACGGCTCGCTGCAGACAGAGCTGTCCACTTGACACTCCTCTGCGGGGTCTAGGAGTCATGTCCAGCTTTCTGCAACCAACTCTAGATTCTTCGTTTCCCTCTCACACCTGTTCCTCCCGAGTCTTCGTCACCTCAAGCATGGCAGACCGCCCAGCCAGCTGCCCAGGCCAGACCCTGGTCTCCTTCCCCCGGTTCCTCAGGCCCCTGTGAGCGCTGGGCACGTCTTGCTGGCTCCGCAGGTGAAGTCGATTCAGATCCAATTGCTTCGCCTCACCGCCTTGGCTACCACCCCAGCCCAAGCCTCCAGAACCCAGCCTGAGCACGCAGCTCTGGCCCCCTGTCCCCTCCGTGGTTCTCAGCCGCGCGTGTCCGGCTCCGGCTTCTCTGCTCAGAGTTCTCCAGCGGCTTCTTCCACCCAAAGCAGCCGGGTCCTTCCAAGCCCCGGTGCCTGCTTCCTGCCCCTCTCCCGTCAGCGCCTCCTTCTGGCCTCCTCCCTTGCTCTGCCCGCCGCACTGGCACTCTGGCTGCTCCAACTGCCCGGCAGCCTCCTCACCGGTCCCTCTTCCCTGGGAGGTCTCTGCGCGAACGGCACCTCCCCAGAGTGACCGCTCTGTGGAAACAGCTCCTCACCATCACTTTCTCTCTCCTCACCCTCCATTCTCCTTGATATTAAATACTTACTGCACAGCACCTATCTGCGGATTTATTTACATCCCCGGGATGGAGAAGACTGCCCTCCGGGCATCGGCCGCAGTGCCCGCAGGCAGCTCACGCTCTCCCTCTAACCCACACCAGCACTCACCAGACGGGACGTGTAGACGGGTGGTTTGACGGGTGTGGCCACAGGACAGTTGATCCGCTTCTCCTTTTGGCGTCGGTTGCAGAACCAGACCCTCACCACCTCCTTCTCCATGGACAGCTGTTCTGCAATCATGGAGATCTCCTCCGAGCTGGGTTTGGGGTTCTACAGAAACCAAAGGGGGAGAGTGGTCAAGAGAAGAAGGGAGTAGGGTCAAGAATTGGGGGTGGGGGACAGATGCTTCATGGAAACAGGATAAAACAACAGATGGATCAAAAGCTTTAGAATCAGACCTAGATGGAATGCTCGGTCATCCCTTCCTGTGTGTTCTTAGCCGCTGTGAGACCAGAACAGCAATGCCTGCCCGGAAGGATTGTGGGAGGATTAAGTGAGACAATGTGTGTCAGGGGTGCACACGGGCCTGGCACAGCTCTTCCCTTGCTCCTTTCTTCCGGAGCAGCTCTGCTAGAAGAGTCACGTGAGGACAGGAGCTCCAGTGCCCTCCTCTGCGTTCTGTCTTCACAACCTGGTGTTTCTCTGTGGCCCTGCCTCCTGCCCTGCCCCACACAGGAAAGGATAACGCTAGCCCTGAGCACTGCAGAGACTGCAAACACAGGCAACATTTGCCCGGCCAGGGTGGCTCAGTGACTGAGAGCTGACCTATGAACCAGGTCAGGAATTCGATTCCTGGTCAGGGCACAGGCCCGGGTTGCAGGCTCCATCCCCAGGGTGGGGCATGCAGGAGGCAGCCAATCCATGATTCTCTCTCATCTTTGATGCTTCTCTCTCTCCCTTCCTCTCTGGAAGCAATAAAAATACTTTTTAAAAATATATATAGATCACACTCTAGTTCTGCTCCCCAACACCCGTCTCTGACATCTGCCCTCGTCTCTCCCTCCGACGCCTTCCCGGAGGCCCTCCTGGTGCTCTGAGAACCTGAGGCAGAAGGAAAGCCAGCTCTTGCCACCCTGCCAGCAGGATGCAGCCTCCAGCTCTTTGGCCGCTTACGGGCGGCCGGCCTGGGCCTGGGTCTGCGCGACTGATGGAGGCCAAAGCATATCCTGGTACCCAAAGGCCCTGATAGAAGCTCTGGACCAAACCTGTTTTCCTCTCTTCTCTCCCCCAGCTCCCAGGGGACACAGAGTTGATATTATTATATTAGCTTCAACATACAGGTTTTAGACTACGCTTTGGCTCCTCCTTAAAAACTGTATGCATGTAATATGATTGCAAATATTTAAATGTGTGTGGAAAAGAGAAATAGAAGGAAACACAGGTAGATGGCATTTGATGATGAGTTTCCCCTCCATCCCTGTCTTTTCCTAATTGTGTACGCTAAGCATTTGTTACAGTTATAATTTGAAGAATACAAAACAATGCACAGGAAGTGGAGAATTTCTATACAACGCCCTTCTGTGCTCCCTCCACTTCAACTGGACAGAGTGCTGCACGCTTCTGGGAATCTGTATCCCATTGTGTTTGTTTTTTTAAAATATATTTTTATTGATTTCAGAGGGAAAGGGAGAAGGAGCGATAGAAACATCAATGATGAGAGAGAATCATTGATGGGCTGCCTCCTGCACGCTCCTCCTGGGGACTGAGCCCACAACCCAGGCATGTGCCTTGTCTGGAATCGAATCCGGGACCCTTCAGTCTGCAGTCTGAGGCTCTATCCACTGATCCACACCAGCCAGGGTAATATTCCATTCTTTAAATCTCCAGTGGAAGGGGTGACGGGCCCTGGATAGGCATCAGGGCAAGAAGGGTGAGTGGGGGAAGAAGTTCCTGGGGTGTGAGAGGATGGGCAGTCTGCCACCTGCTGTCTACAGAGGGGGTGCTTTCTAGCCTCTTCCCAAGACCAGCCTGAGCTGCTCCCCCACCGCTCCCCGCCGAGGGGCCACTCACATCCTGAAACCTCTTCTCCAGGCTCAGGCGGATGTTGGTCTCGATGCTGGTGCGTTTCTTCCTCTTCCTCCCGAACACCTCGGTGAGGGTGGGGTACGCGCTGGGGGCGCTCACTGAGGGGTCTGTGGGGGAGGACTCTGGGGGAGACGGGAGGAAGGGAAGGGAAGGGAGTGGCAGCCATCCGGCTGAATGGACTTGAGGTTCAGTGATTCTCCAGGGTGGTGGCTCCCCAGCGGTGTTTTCTGGATCGGCCCTCCCCCAGCCAGGGGGCCGGCCGGACAGAACCCTGCTCTCCTCGATGCTCTGGGCAGGGGCCTCCGGGGTGTGCACCCGGCCCAGGGACCCCGGACGTGCAGGCATGTGCGGGCCCAGGGGCGTGGGCAGAGCTCCTGCGAGGGGGCTTGTGCTTTGTAAGCAGCCCCAGTGGGAACCCCGAATACTGGGTGAGCGGCGTGAGCCTGGGGCAACGCTGGTGCCGGGCCAAGGCTGCGGGGTGCACGGAGGAGTCTCCCTAGGGAGGACCCCGGCCCAGTGGGGACCCACTAGAAATGACCTTTAAGGTCCTTCCCAGGGGCCGCAGCTCTGGCTTCGACGCTGCTGTAAAAGCTGCGAGGGCCGTCTGTGGGGGCCGTCTTTGTCCTCCCAGGTGCCAAGTGAAAGGCCTTCCAAGAGGGTGGCATCCTGCTGCCCGCCTCCCGGTTTCCACAGCAATCACTCACCTCACTTCAACCTAACAGAGGCCTGGCCCTGCCTGGCTCTCTGCTCTGTCCCTCTCAGCCAGACCAGTGGTTCCCAATCAAGGGGGACTTGGTACCCGCCGGGGGCACCTGGCACTGTCCGGAGATGTAGTGGGAAGAAACCAGGGATGGTGCTGCCAGGACGGCCCACAGCACAGGAGTCTCTGGGCCGAATGTGGGTGGTGTGCGACCGAGCAGCTCTGACCCACCAACAAACCCTTGCCTCCGGCCGCCTCCACACCGGGCAGTGGGCTAACCGCTGACCAGGCTCCACGGCCAGGCTCTCCCCACCGCCTGTCTGGCTCCTCCGGGCCTTCTCACACCTCTCAGATCAGCCAGATAGCAGCCTCCTGTGGGGACTGCTCCGCCCCCTCGCCCCTCCCGCTGGTCCTGGGATGTGTCTGCTCTGCAGACCTGCCCCATGCGCTTCCTGAGAGCCTGAGGTCCGGGCGGCTGGGGAGGGGCTCGAGGTGTGCGTTTCCATGGCCACGGGAGCTGTGAGGCCTGCAGGGAGCTCCCCTCCCCGTGCCTGACTCCTCGCTCAGCCGGCTCCAGACTCCGAAGAAGGAGGGTGCGGGCATGGATGCCTAAAGCCCAGCAGATAAGGGCCCCTCCTGCAGGCTCTCCCAGGGCCGCCCCCGCCCGAGGCCTACCCGCGTCGCTCAGCCACTTCTCCAGCAGCGGCTTGAGCTTGCACATGTTCTTGAAGCTCAGGTTGAGGGCCTCGAACCGCGAGATGGTGGTCTGGCTGAAGTCGTTGCCGTACAGCTTCCCCATGGCCAGCCCCACGTCCCCCTGGGGGCAGGAGGGGAGAGAGGCTGCTTCTCTTCCAGGCCACCCGCCACCCCTGCCTACCGCCTCGGCTCCTTCCCGGCCCCCAAGATGGGAGCGGCCTGATTTCTCTTCAGGACTCTGTGGGCTCTGAGCTGAAGGCCTGGCCCCGCTCAGCCACCCCCCCTGCCCCCTCCACCGGCCCTGTGCTCAGCACAGTGCCGTCCACAGGCCCGGCTCCCCGCTCCACCAGCCCTGTGCTCACTCAGCACCGTCCACAGGCCCGGCTCCCCGCTCCACCAGCCCTGTGCTCACTCAGCACAGCGCCGTCCACAGGCCCGGCTCCCCGCTCCACCAGCCCTGTGCTCACTCAGCACCGTCCACAGGCCCGGCTCCCCGCTCCACCAGCCCTGTGCTCACTCAGCACCGCCCACAGGCCCGGCTCCCCGCCCCACCCGCCCTGTGCTCACTCAGCACAGCGCCGTCCACAGGCCCGGCTCCCCGCTCCACCAGCCCTGTGCTCACTCAGCACCGTCCACAGGCCCGGCTCCCCGCTCCACCAGCCCTGTGCTCACTCAGCGCCGTCCACAGGCCCGGCTCCCCGCTCCACCAGCCCTGTGCTCACTCAGCACAGCGCCGTCCACAGGCCCGGCTCCCCGCTCCACCAGCCCTGTGCTCACTCAGCACAGCGCCGTCCACAGGCCCGGCTCCCCGCTCCACCAGCCCTGTGCTCACTCAGCGCCGTCCACAGGCCCGGCTCCCCGCTCCACCAGCCCTGTGCTCATTCAGCACAGAGCTGTCCACAGGCCCGGCTCCCCGCTCCACCAGCCCTGTGCTCACTCAGCACAGCACCGTCCACAGGCCCGGCTCCCCCCTCCACCAGCCCTGTGCTCACTCAGCACAGAGTTGTCCACAGGCCCGGCTGCGAAGGGCTCACAACAGGCGCAGGACGGGCCTGCCCCGGCACGCCGAACTCGGGGTGCTCTTGAGACCCGGACGGGAGCCTCCTCTGCCTCCCCAGAAGCGAACCTGCGTGAAGCCCAGCTTGATGCGCCTCTGCTTGAAGGTCTTCGCAAACTTCTCCAGCTCCTCCAGGTCGCTGGGCTCGTCAGCCCCCCCGGGGCCCGGCAGGTGCTTGGGCCCCGGGAGGTGCTGGGGCGCTTCCAGGTGGGCGTCTAAGGAGGGTCCCGGCAGCCCGGGGCGCCCCGCTGCCTGGAAGACACACAGTCAGCACGTCCGGCCGAGTGCCAGCACCGGCACCGGCAGCACAGGGGGGGCCTGGCTGCGCTGAGCGCCTGTGCTGTCACTCGCAGGAGGCGGGAACCACGCTCCTAGGAAGGGCGAGCAGCCACCTAGGCCAGAGGGGCAAGCGGCAAGTGGGCCTGGAGTCCGCTGGCCGGTCTGTGAGGCACCGATTGGCGCCCTCCCGTGGGCTTTCTCCCAGGAGAGGAGCCAGAGGCTCGTGTGCAGGTTTGAGAGTGTGTTCTCGCCGGTGTTCGCCCAGCGGAGCTGGCTTCCTGCATGGAGCTCTGCACAGGACAGGCTCCCGCCTGGCATTTTACATCCTAGACCACCCGCTTCATTCAGTAGAGTGTTTGGGGGTTTGCTTTTCTTTTGTTTGTTTGTTTTGTTAACCCAAGGATATTTTTCATGATTTTTAGAGAGAGTGGAAGGGAGAGGGAGAATCAAAGGGAAACGCTGATGTGAGGGATTCATCCAAGTGAGAGAAACATTGATGCCAATTGGCTGCCTCCCACACGTGCCCAGACCTGGGCAGGGGATCACACCTGCAACCTCCATACCCTAAGTCCACGGGCCGACCTCTCTCCACTGAGCCACACTGGCGAGGGCTGCTTTTTTTTTTTTTTTTTTTTTTTTTTTTTTTTTAGCAAAGGCATTCCAGTGCTCTCTGAATGCACTGTGATCTCATTCATGGTTGTCAGGAGCACTTGCTTCTTTTGTTTATTTTCAGAGGAAAATGGATCCGTAAGCCTAGAATCCATGTTGTCCCCATTTGGGGTCAGGCATCTATTGGACCCTGAAGACATGGATCATCCCCAGGGAAGGAAGGACACCCAGCCGAGGGCTCAGCGCAGGCCTCTGCCCACGTGGCACCATGGCCTAAGCCCCCTCTGCTCTCTCCTCCCCGCTCACTCTCTGGACTGGGGCTAGCTGTGCCTTTTCTCATCCAAGACACTCAGGGTTACCATGACGACAGGTGTCATTATTTTGGGGATGCAAAGGACCTGAAGGAAGTTGAAGACTCTTCCCAGAGAAGGGCTTTTGGGGATTTAGGACGGCTGTCTATGCATCTGATCCCACTGATACAGACCAGACCCTCGGACACAGCTCTGTCTTCTTGAGACTTCCTTTTCATTCATTTATTTGTTCTTTTATCAGACAAATACCAAGTTCTTTGCTAAGGCCTTCACTTTCCCCCTTCACATCCAACTAGATGCCAATTAAATTGGTTCAACTTCCCCAACATCTCTCATTCACCCCTTGCCTCCATCTTACTGCCATTGCCCTAGGTCCGTGGTCAGCAAACTCATTAGCCAACAGAGCCAAATATCAACAGGACAACGATTGACATTTCTTTTGAGAGCCGAAAACTAACTTCTGTGCTTGGGCCACGAAGTTTCAATCGCACTGTATGTGCGTGCCCGCACGTGGTATTTTGTGTAAGAGCCACACTCAAGAGGCCAAAGAGCCGCATGTGGCTCGGGAACCACAGTTTGCCGACCATTGTCCTGGGCCAGTCGCTGTCAGTCCAGGATGCTCTTGGGAGCTTATGCTTCTAGTGTCCCATTCCCATGAGCCACTAGGTGGCGCTGTCCTCCCAGGTGCCCCTGCTGAGCCAGGCTCACAGTGATCCTTGGGAATCTCCATGCAGAGAAGGGGCATTGGGGTCCCTGCACACCCACTTCTGCAGAACCACCTGGGGCAGCTGTGCAGACGGGAGTGGCAGCCACAGCCGGTCACTCTGGCCGAGTGTGCCCAACATGGGGCTGCTTCGGCCCAGGCACAGAGAAGAGCCACTGCCTTTATGGTCTTGGGGCATCAGGCCAAGGGGCTCTGGTCCCCCCTCGGGGCGTATGAGCGCCAGGCTGGGTGGCCATCACTGTGGCGTCCTAGGGGAGCTAGCTGACTGCTGGTTTTTGTTTTTGTTTTGTTTTTTTAACAAGTTTTTTGTTTGTTTGTTTTTAACATATTTTATTGATTTTTTACAGAGAGGAAGAGAGAAGGATAGAAAGTTAGAAACATCGATCAGCTGCCTTTTGCACACCCCCTACTGGGGATGTGCCTGCAACCAAGGTACATGCCCTTGACCGGAATCGAACCCAGGACCCTTCAGTCCGCAGGCTGACGCTCTATCCACTGAGCTAAACCGGTTTTGGCTGGCCGCTGGTTTTGAGGTGACTGCTGCTAGGGCCTGGCTGGGGGCGGGGTGTCGGCACCATGGAGTGAGTGAGGCCAGGAGCTGGTCACTGGGTCCTCGTTCTGCCTCCACCTCTGACAGCGGCCCACCCTCCCTGGCTGTGGCTGTCATTCGCCCGCCTGCCAAGCGGGCGAGTCCCCTGCTACTCCCTCTTCCCCGGGGGTAAGAGCACAGCCGAGGGGCCGGAGGAAGACCAGGGGCTGAGCTCCGCCACACAGCACTCCCAGAGGACACCTGGGAGGGGGCTTACCTGGGACACCAGGCCGGGTCCAGGCTGTGGGAGGAGCAGGGAGCTTTGCTGCTGTGGAAAGGGGAGGAGATTGGGCTGCAGACCTGGTGAGAGGGGGACAGGGACAGGAATGAAAGCCCCTCGTGAAACCCCTGCAGCCTTGGAAGCCTGACCTCTCTCCTCACTCAACCCTTCCCCCCCAACTAATGAACCAAGTCCTGCAGCCCACCTCCAGCCTCCCGGGCACCACCACAGGCCGAGGCAGAGCAGACCCAGGGAGAAGCCGTGCCAAACCAGTCCTGCTGCGCCCGCCCGCCTGCCCGAGGCTGAGGAGGGCCTGCCATCTACTCTGAGGTGGACTCCGGGCTGCTGGAGAGACCCGAGGGAGGAGCTGCGGGTGTGAGGGCTACGGTTCCAGCTCAGCTGGGAAAGTCCTGCCTGGACAGCTCACAGGCCGCCCATCGGCAAGGGTGCCCGAGCACGCTGAGGGGCACTGGGGGACCCCAGGCCGGCACTTTACCCATGGGGAAGGGGCTGAGGGAAGGGAGAGCAGCCAGGACTCCCCTGCTCCACCCTCCCCTCCCCAGGGCCCGGTCCCCCAGGAGTCTCCTGCTTGGTGGTCATGCCAGGGACTTCCTCGGGAAGGCCATAGCCAGGCCTCTTGCTGCCACTCGGAGAGCGGCCGCCACACCCACAGCAGAAGGGGTTGCCGGCCGCTCAGCAGAGCTCAGCCTGAGTCTCTGTGGTCCCGAGCTGGCTTAGAGCACCGGCTGCTGTTACACACGCTCCTCAGTCTGAACAAGAAGCCAGGACTTTCTTCTTCTTCTTTTTGTTAATCGTCACTCGAGGATATTTTCCCATTGATTTTAAGAGAGAGTGGAAGAGAGAGGGAAAGACTGAGAGAAACATTGATGTGAGAGAGACATCGATTGGTTGCCACCCACATGAACCCCAACCAGGACCAAGGGGTCAGATCAACCAGCAACCAAGGTGCCCTTGAGTGCAGTCGAACCCAGGACCCTTCAGTCATCAGGCCGATGCTCCATCCACGGAGCCATCTGGCAGGGTGGTCTTTATTATTAAAATGAATGGGAAGAACCCGGCCTGGGAGGCTAATTGTGACCTCACAGCTGTGCTGTGTGTGGAAGTTACAAAGCCTTCTCCCTGCTTTACTTCAGGTGACCCTCCATCACCTCGGGAGGCAGAGTTTTACTATTTTTCTTTTTTATGGAGAAGGACATAAACCTCAAAGAGGTTAAGGTAAGTTTCCCAAGAATCACAGCTAATAATTTCTACCAATGAGCTTTTTTGACTCCAGATTTTGAATTGGGCTTTTAATTGTTTATTGTTTGCTCAGTATTATACATTGGCCTTATTGGCTACATGCATGGGCCAATTTCATATCACTGTTGACCAAAAAGATACCGAATTCAGCGCTACCTTCCCTTCCTGGCCCAGGAGTGTGATATGTATCATTCTGCCGAAGCAAATGCTTCAAGGTTCAAATATGCTCTGGCTCATCATGATGGGACACCCTGAGATGCGGGCAGCGCGGAGGGCAGGACCACAGCCCCATGACCTTGAATCCTGGAGCTTACACTCCGCCATCACGTTTGGGCAAGCTGATGGCTACAGGAGGCGGAGAGGTGACACAGTGGTGGGTCAAAAGCAAGGGTTTTAGACAGACAAATCTGGAACTTTCTAGAAGGCCACCAGAGGCATAATATGAGTACCCAGTGCACACAATTATAGTTTGAAAGATAAATCAGGAAAACCACTCAGCAGGCCTCCTGGCACATCATGCTCAAATGATGTTAGCGATTGTTATAAACATTCTGTATTTTATTTGTTTGTCTGTTTGCGTGTTAATCCTCACGTGAGGTGACTCTCCCATTGATTTTCACAGAGAGCAGAAGAGAGAGCGGGAGACAGAAAGAAGCATCGATGTGAGAGAAACATGCAGGCCAGGGCCAGGGCGGGGAGGAGCCTGCAACCCAGGCTTGTGCCCTTGACCAGAACTGAACCCGGGACCCTTTGGTCTACAGGCTGACACTCTATCCACTGAGCCACACTGGCCTGGGCACAGTTGTTATAAATCTAACCCCTTACTCTTGGCCAGGATATCTGGAGGTTATGTTCCTGCAGCCTGTGGGTGGCACTGCTGCTCCACCGAGGCCTCATGTCCAGCTTCCCGAGGGATGCGGAGAGAACTGGGGCGTCTGCACGGCATTTCCCAGGAGCCACTCCTTTTTGCACTGCCCAGGTCCTGCCTCCCCCCCTCCCTTTCAGCCTCAAGTGGCATGAAATCATGGAAGATGGGAGAAGGAAGAAGAGAAGGCCTGGAGGGGCAAGGAGGTCCCTGGCTCAGGCGTGATTGGGAAAAGCTGACCTACCAGCAGCGCTGGCCCCTCGCCCGGGTCCCAGCAGGCCCCGCCCAGCCGGCAGCAGGGCCGTGAGCCGGACCTCACCTTGCTGCCCTGGCTGGGCCTGAGAGAGCAGAAACTGCGAGACGGACTGCAGGTGGCTGGGAACCAGCACGAGCTGCTGCAGGGGGTGGAGGGGCGTCAGGTCCTGCGAGGGGAGAGACACGTCACAGGACTCACAGACTGGTCCTATCGCTGCCGCCGTCTGCTCCAGGTCCTCAGACGCCGAGTGTGCACAGTGACCGGGTCTGTGCCCTGCGCGTCCCAGGATCCGGGACGCAGCCGCTGCTGCTCCGCGAACGCTGGCCATCACGGTGCCCTGCAGCCTGGCCTGCTGTTTGACGTGTGTCAGTCCTGCCCCTTCCCCGCCCCCTCCCTGGAGACTGCAATGGCCTGGGGTGAGGCTAAGTCTTCTCACGTCTCAGACTTTACTCTGAACAACACGCAGTCCCAATTGTCCAAGTGTGAAAAACCTCGTGGCACTGGGCCGGTTTCTGGGCCCGAACCGTCCTTCCTGAGGAAGGCAGCAGTTCTTAGTTCTCAGGAAAACCCATGGGCCTCCACGAAAGTCCAACCCCGGGCTCCTCCACCAGCCCAGAGCATGGACATCCCAGCCCCAAGATTCCTCCCAAGCGGAGGAGGGCTGCACATTCGTTTTAAATGCGGCCAGAGAGGGGTTGCCTCTCGCCTCCGGGTGAGCCAGGCCGACAGGAGCCCCCAGGAGGCCTGCTCACACACTGTGGGCGGCCTGGGCGCCTCCTTCGCCCGGCCAGGCCCCCTCCGGTCCGGCTTTGAGGAAGCACTTGCAAGGGAGGGACGTGCGGGGTAGAAACGCCGTTAGCAGGGCTGCCCCAGCGCCAGGCCTGCGGGTTCTGCAGAGCTGCCTCCCTTCCCTCCCGGGAGGGACCTCCCTCCGTGACAGCCAGGCTTGTTTGGCAAGGACTGTCGGGAGCCTCCCTCCGCCCGCTCTCCAGCCTCTGCGCACCGCGCACCGCGGAGGTCAGCATTGTGCTGGGACGAGCCCGCGCCCACCAGGAGCACCAGGGCTCACGCATTTACCCCGGACACTTGGCTTCCGGGCATCATGGCAGGTCCCTGGCTCAGGGGGCATGGCCGGTGTGAGGGCATCTGCTGCAGGGAGTCGCTGAGGTCCTCGGTTTTGATCTGCAATGGAGGCAGGAGGGGCGGCTCGGTCTGGGCCTCCCAGGCCTACAGGAAGGGAAACTTAGAGAAGATCAGGGCAGGAGACCAGGGCTAAGTCAGCGAATAAGGAGCCAGCTCAGCCCGGCTTAGAGGTTGAGTGTTGACCTATGAGCCAGGAGGTCACGGTTTGATTCCAGCCAAAGGCACATGCCCGGGGTGCAGGCTCTGTCCCCAGGTAATGCTGGAAGCAGCTGATCCATGGTTCTCTCTCTTCACTGATGGTTCTCTCCCCATCTCCCTTCCTCCGAAATCAATAAGAATATATTAAATAAATAAAAGCAGCGCAGAGCCCACTGGGCGCCCCTCAGGCCCGAGGTGGGGCAGAGGGAGGGCCGGGCACGCCCTGCCGCGCCTCCCGGGGGGGGGGGGGGGGGGGGAGTGAGCGAGTAAGGGCTGGGGAGGAGAGGAGGTCCTTGGGGTTAGAACTTCTTTCCTGAGAGATGTGGTTCTGGTGTCATTCCAGAGCGCCCCTCACAGCAGCTTAGCGCCTCCCCTCTTCAACTCTCTGTCCACAGAGCCCCCCTTGTTCCTGTCCCCTGCAGCTGAGCGGCCCCTGCGGGGAGTGTCTCCCCTGCCCTCCGGCTTCCTCAGGGGGCGCCGCACAGCTCCCCCAGCCTCTGCCGGCGCCCTGGGGCGGGGGCACCAGGGCCGGCACCTCCCACGGAAGGCGCGGCGGCCCATGCCCGTTCTGTGCCCGTGTCCGTATCCGTGTCCATGTCCATGTCTGTGCTGTGCCCGTGCCCATGCCCGTACCGTGTCTGTGTCTGTGTCCGTGTCCGTGTCCGAGCTTATGTTCGTTTCCAGATCTGTGCCTGTGTCTGTGTCCGTGCCCGTGTTCATGTCTATGCCCATGTCTATGTCCATGTCTGTGCCTGTGTCCGTGCCCGTGTCCATGCCCGTGTCTGTGTCCATGTCCGTGTCCATGTCTGTGTCCGTGCCCGTGTCCGTATCCATGTCCATGTCCATGTCTGTGCTGTGCCCGTGCCCATGCCCGTGCCCGGGTCCGTGTCTGTGCCGTGCCCGTGCCCATGCCCATACCGTGTCTGTGTCTGTGCCTGTGTCTGTGGCCGTGCCCGTGTCCATGTCTATGCCCATGTCTGTGTCCATGTCCATGCCTCTGTCCGTGCCCATGTCCGTGTCTGTGTCTGTGCCCCTGTCCGTGCCCCTGTCCGTGCCCGGCTGCGCTGGGGCACTGGCGGGGACACCGGCATGGCTGTTTCCGCTGCTTTTAACTGAACTTGGGGCGGCTCCCAGGGACGGGCCTGTGGGAAGGCGGCTTCCGGGCTCGATGGCCGGGGGAGCCAGCGGGACACCGGCGGGAGCAGTGCCGCGGGGTGGGGGGCAGAGCACCGCGAGTGGAGCCGCAAGGCGACCCCAGGTCTCCGGACCGGGCTCTGTCCTCTGGCCCAAGGGAGAGGTGCCCTGCAAAGAGCAGGGCGGAGGGGGGGACGGAGGGGTGGTGGGCGCAGAGGGGCTTTCCAGAAACAAACAAAGCACCGCCCGCAGAAGGGCCCGCACAGCCCTTGCACCCCCCCCTGCCCCCCCCGCCCCTCGCACCCCCTCCCCCGGCCCCCCCCCGCACCCCCCCGGCCCCCCTCCCGCCTCCCCCCGGCCCGCCGCACCCCTCCACCCGCCCCTCCGCCCGTCCGTCCGCCTGTCCGTCCGCCCTGTCTGCTGGGCCCCGCCCCGCCGCCCCGCCGCTCCCCGCGGTCCAGCGCAGCCGCGGCGCTGGGTGAGCGGGAGCGGGTGCGGGGCTGAGGGTGTCAGGGTGACCATCGCCTCCAATCGGAGCGACTCCGGACTCCGCGGGTCAGGAAGCGCGGGGCCTGGGATGGAGCGAGCCCGCGCCGCCCGCCGGAGGCTGCGCCCAGCGCTCCCCATGGCCCCGAAGTGCCGGACCCCAGGCTGCCCGCCCCTCCCCGTGCAGGCCCGCGGGCCCGGGGCGGGGCCGGAGAGCCCGGGGCGGGAAGGGGCCCTGGCACAGGGCACGCAGGGGCCCCAGGGGAGGCACAGCCAACGCGGATGGGCACACGCTGGTGATGGAAGCGATCAAAGCTGCTGTCCTGGTTGCATAACTCGTTTGTGGAAAATGTTTCATAAACATTTCACAAGAAGGAGAATTTCAAAGCGCAAACATCTCTCAACCTGCCTTCAATTACAGGCAAGGTGTGTTTTTTCTCTCTTTCTCCCCTTCTCTCTTCCTGCCCAGCAGTAAGGAAGAGTTTCTGTTTTGTAACTGATTTATAAAGAGTTGGCAAAGGTTGCTCACAAAAATATCCTGAAAATACATTCCAAGTGGTAGAGTGGGGAGGCGGGAAGCTCCTCCAGATGGACAGCGAGAGAGCCGGGGCGCCGCCTCCCCGCCATGACCTCGCCAGACCACAGGCCAGCGGACAGTGCTGGGCCCTCTCCTGGGCAGCACCACTTCCAGAAACTCGTGGCTCCTCAGGAGGCTGGGCCCTGGGAGCTGCTCCCTCCTGAAAAGGAACTTTCCAGAAAGAAGTCCCTGCTCTTCCGGCTCTCACCCGCTCTGGAAATACAACGCGCTTATCAGTCTTGTGAGTAATGCATTGGCGTCGGCCCTGAGGACGCAGCATTGCTGATGCGGACACGTGTGGAAGGCGCCATTTAAAACCCCAGCACGGGAGGCCATGAATTCAAGTCTGAAAACTCGGGAAAGGGGCTGTGTTCTCATGAAGAACACATTCTCTTGCCCTGACTGGTGTGGCTCAGTAGACAGAGCATGGGCCTGCGGACGGAAGGGTCCAGGGTTTGATTCCTGGTCAGGGCATATGCTTGGGTTGTGAGCTCGATCCCCAGTAGGGTCCAAACAGGAGGCAGCCGATCAATGATTCTCTCATGTCACTGATGTTTCTCTCTCTGAAGTCAATAAGAAGATGTGTGTGTGTTTTAAAGAGCACAGCCTGGCGGCAGGCTCCGGTGTCCGTGCAGAGCAGGGGCGGTTCCCACGAGAGGCATCCACCCAGGTGAGAGCTGAGAGCACGCCGAGGCCAGCGGGAAGGAGGGGGGCAGAGACAGAGGAGAGGTGGAAGGGTTTCTAGGACAGAAAGTGTTGTAAAGGTTCATCCTTTACAATAAAGAAGCCGTTCCCCTCGGACTCTGCCTGCAGGCTGAGAGCACGGGAAGAATCGGAGACGCAGCCAGCCGGACTGCTCCTGACGGATGGCGGGTGCTGGCCTAGGTCTTCACTCTCTAGATCACACATTTCTGCGAGGTTCACCAGCAGAAAGCTACGCATTAACTTTAAAGTAGAAAAAATAAGGTTACAAATAGTAAGCACTGACAATGTTATCTACATGGAATTCTTTAGTGTACGAAGTGGCGGAGATGTTTCCTTAGCTGGTGAAAGGGAGTCTTCAGAGGTTAGGGGAGAAGTGTCTAAGTCAGCACACACAGTCCTGCAGCTATCAGATGTGCACAGTGTGTGCGTGCGTGTGTGTGTGTGTGTGTGTGTGCGTGCGCGCTCATGCGTGTTCTTTAAAAGCGATAGAGGGGGCCAAAGCTCTCGCCTTGCATCTCCGGTCGCTGACTTTCAGCCGAAACACCGGAGAGGCGGCCTGCACGCCTCACACAGAACACTTAAACACACCATTTAGGCCCATTTTCAGAATACTCCCATGTGACTAAAAAGACAGACAAAAGCCCAGGCCCATTTGGCTCAGTGGATAGAGCATTGGCATGCAGACTTAAGGGTCTTTGGTTCGATTCCAATCAAGGGCATGTACCTAAGTTGCAGGCTTGATCCCTGGCCCTGGTTGGGGCATGTGTGGGAGGCAACCAATCCATGTCTCACATGGATGTTTCCCTCTCTGTCTCCCCCGGTCTTCCACTCTCTGTAAAAGTCGGTGGGAAAATGTCCTCAGGGGAGGATTCACAGGAAAAAAGCAGGCAATGCCGTTACTGTTTTACAGAGGAAGGAAACTGGCTCACAAAACGGGGGAGATTTGTCCACGGTGCACAGCCAACTAGCAAGAGAGCCATGATTTGAGCCCATGTCATCTTTAAAATTCAGCACATCTTTCAAATTCCTTGGATTTTCCGAGGAAGTCTTCCCAAATAAGTGGATTCCAGTCACTAAGGTCTCTGGTCCCGCTCAGGCCTTGGCTTCAGATTTGGATGCATGTTGATTGGCGTCATTCTGAATGAGCTTTCCCTCACAGGGACTGCAATAGCTCTGCTTCCCCCAAAGAGGACCCGGCGAGAACTCAGGCCCTGACTCAGGCCAAGGTGCCCACCCTGGGCTGGGCGACTGACAGCGGCAGCCGCCTCCCGGAGCCCTAAACTGCTTTTGTTGCAGCTGCTTTTCCAGGTTTTAACTTCTTTCTCACAAACAGGGTTTTCACCTGCTACTGTTGGTATGCTTGCCTCTGGCAACCCCATATTCCACCTCAAATTTGCAGCTTTTATTTGCTATGTGGAAAAGTCAGATAAGTAAGTTCTTACAACTGTTTCTAAAATAAAATGTAAGGCCCGGGAGGCATGGCTCAGGGGTTGAGCATCAACCTATGGACCAGGAATCAGGACCAGGTTGAGCATTATCCTATGAATCAGGGTTTGATTCCCTGCCAGGCTATCTGTTGGGGTTGTGGGCTCCATCCACAACCCCGTGTGGGATGTGCAGGAGGCAGCCGATCAATGATTCTCTCTCATCACCAACATTTCTATCTCTCTCCCTCAGCCCCCCTCCTTCCCTCTCCCTTTCTTTCTGGAATCAATAAATATATACACATTAAAAAAAAAAAGTAAGGCCTGAGAAAGGGCTTGGCTTGAGGTCTCCTTCGCTTCCTCCCGATCCTCGGCTGGGCTCCAGTAGGCAAGGCTGCTGGCTCTCAGGTCAGTGAGGCACGAAGCAGCGCGCTCTCTCTCTCTCTCTCTCTCTCTCTCTCTCTCTCTCTCTGACAATGGGCTTGCCCTTCTGGTTTAATTTCTAGTGAGGACAT